CTGAGGTGCGGTGCCCCTCCCCCGCTCTCTCCGGTTCGGCTCTTTCCCAGCCTGGGGGGCTGCGGCGCCTCCTCATCCCGCCGGCTCTGGGGGCCCGGCCCTAGGGAGGCAGCGGTCACCAGCTGCTTCCCTCAGGCCAGGAGGGCGCGTCCAGTCGCCAGAGGCCCCCAGACCCACCCTTTTCCTCCAGCCTGCCCAGCCCAGCGGGGCGGCCTCAGCTGTCCAGCCCTGAGGGCCGGGCGAGCAGCGGCCAGGATGCCATTGGCCGGGCTCTGGGGCCCCTCCTGTGGGCCTGGCCAACCCGGCCTGCTCCCCCTGCGCCCCAGGGGACCTGGCGCCCCCAGGCCGGGGCGGGGGAGGGGCAGAGGCGGGGAGGGCGCCCAGGAGGGACCCCAGCCCGCGTCTGCAAATCCCATCTGCAGCGGCCACCTCCAGCCCCACGCTGCCCATTGGAAGGCCGGCCAGTGGTGGCCGCCTGCCCGCCCCCAGCCTGCCATCCGCAGGGCAGCCGCGGGCACCCAGAGGCCGCAGCCTGGGGGTGGTGTCCACAGGCCAGGCCTGTCCTTCCCCGCAGTGCAGCCGCGCTGCCTCTCGCGCCCTCAGGAGCCAGCAGCGTCCGTCGCCAGCTGGACTCCCTGGGGCCATCTGCACACACGCCCAGGGCAGGCCAGGCGGGGCCCCAGGAGCTCCTGCGAGGCCACAGAGGACTCCGGGACCGACTGGGCGCGTCCCTTTGCTGTCAGGGCCCAGTCTTCTCCACACTGACCGCTGGCCTCTCGGAAGAGGGCTGGAGCGTCCACATGAACCACACTGGCCCCTGAGGTCACAGACGGCTTGCGCCAGGGCCTGTGGGCAGCGGTCAGCCTCGCCCACCTGGAGGGGCCCAGCCTGAGAGCCGCCCGGGCCCAGGAGAGAGGGGCCGGGCGCGTCCCTGTTCTTCTCGGGCAGCGGCTCACCGCACGGGCATCCTGGCCGGTGGCCCAGCGGCGGCAGGGCAGCCCAGGGCCAGCTCTCTGGCCGGGTCACTATGGCTCTCCTTGCCGTGTGCGGCCGGCACTGGGCGCCTCGGGTAGCCGGGGCAGTGACCGGTCAGCACAGGCCTCTTCTTCCAGCCGTGGTGCCCCAGCCAGGGGAGGGTCTTGGGGAGCCAGGGCCTGGTGAGGGGAGGGTGAGACCAGCCCAGGGCCCAGTGGGCACTGGCTTCAGGCCTCCCATCAGGCCTAGCTCTCCCGCCACCCCCCATGCAGCCCCTGGGGGGGGCCTGGACACACCACCCAGTCCCACGGGCTGACCACCGGCCCTCAGGGCGCCCGCCCCTCCCCAGGCTGGGCCCCAAACCTCCTGACTGCGCCGGAGCCGCATGAAGGGGGGTCCCCGCCGCGGCCAGCCTGCAGAGCGCGGCGCTGAGCAAGGGCAGGGCCGGCCCTGGACGCGGGCTCCGGGGGCCAAGGGGCCGCTGCTCAGCCCCGCCTGGCTCCGGAGCCCAGCACCGCCCCTGCAGAGGCCTCCCGGGGCCAGGGCAGGAGGGCAGGCGCTGGGATGTGCCCACGGGGCGCAGCAGTGGGGCTGTCGGCTGGCCGCTGACTGGCCAGCCAGCCAGGGCCGGCCACTCGGCCGCGTCGCTGCCCGGTGCTGGCCACGGGCCTGTGCTGGCCGTGGCCTCGGGCTGGGTCTGCCCAGGAAACAGCTGTGGGCACAGTAGGTGGCCCTGGGGGCCTGGCTGCGTGCAGGGGGGCCATGGGGGGAGCCAGGCCAGTGACGCGGGCCAGGGTACCGGAGGGTTCGGGGCGCTGCAGGCTGACAAGGCCTCCACTGACCACGAGTGTGGCCTCCTGGGCCCGAGCTGTCCCCCCAGAGCTGCCACGCCACTTGCCAGGCTTCAGCCCGGATCCCACACGGGGCGTGGGGGTGAGGCGGACCCCAGCGACGCCCGGGGCCCTGTGTCCAGCCAGGCACTGGGCAGGGCATGCGGCGGCCGCG